CTGAGTGCCGAGATTATATTTTAGCACATCAGTAACCCAGTTGTGCTGGTTTGCTAAAAACCACAAAAACTCTTAGATATGTATGTCAGGAGACATACATAAGAATATTTGTAGAGGCATTGCTTACAGGAGCAAAGAAAAAATTGGAACATAATCCCAATATTAACAAAGGAATAGATAAATAAAGTGTGATATATTCCCACAGTGGAGTACTATACAGCAGTGAGAAGGGATGCACTAGAACAAACGTATCGATAGAGATGACTCTCTTGCACCAATGTTGCAACATGTTGCAAAAGTACACATGCAGTGTGCTGCTGTTTCTATAAACATTTAAAATAGGCATAGCCATTGTATATATTGCTCAGGGATTCTTACACAAATATTAAAATATATGGACATGCACAGAAAGATAAATAAGTTCTAGAAAGTAGTTACCTCGGGAGGGCTAAGAGATTGAAGAGAACACAAGAGAACACATTGATGTTACCAATGTTTTATATCCTAAGCTGCCTGATAGATGCATGAGTACATGTTGATTATGCTTTATACTTTGTTATATTTTAAATATCCTGCAAGGAATTTCAAAACGTAAAAAATTAAAGCTTGTACAAATGCAGTCCAAGATGAGGCTGGAAAGCTAGGTGGGATCAGATGGTAGGTTGCCCTGGTATGCCATTTTAAAGTTTGGCTTTCATTTAAGGGCAAAGGGGAACCACGGAAAGGTTTTAGACACGGAGGTAATCCCATTAGAGTAACATTCAGAACAAGTTGACTTTTGCTGCAGTGTGGAGATGGGATTTGCGGAGAGGAAGAATAGGGGCCGAAGAGCAGTTAGCAGGAATTTGCTACAGTCCAAACTAGTGCACTTCCTCCTTGAAAGGCCACTTTCTCTTGCTTCCAGAGTGTTTTCTCCTGTTCTCACTCCCTGCCTCTCTGGCCACGCCCCTCCATCCCCATCTCTAAGTCCTCTTCCTCTTCTGCCCCTTAAATGTTGCTGTTTCCCAAAGTGTTTCTTTTTTTTACCCTCTTTTCTTTTCAATTTTTAGGTATATGTGTTATAGCTCTCATCTATATCCCAACTTCAGGTACCACTTTTATGATCATCATTCCCAAATTTATTTCTCCAGCCCAATCTTTTTTTCTGGCTCCAAACTGTCTACTGGACATTCCTTCTTGACTGTCTCATAATTAAACAAAATCCAGCATGTCCAAAATGGAGTTAATTCTCTTTTTCAAATGTGCCTTTTTCCCCCTCTTTTTGTCTTTGAGATCTTGATTAACCATTGTTATCTATCCAGGTGTCTGATCTGGAAAACTGGGTGTTACTTTAGACCAGTCTGTCTCTGTCAACTTTCCTGTTTAATTGACTTTTCCATGTCAGGAATGGAGGGCAAGGTTTTGATGCTGTTATGACATATTTAGGGACCCAGGGATGCTTAATTCCTGCCTTGATAATCACTTTGCTCCCTCCTATTTAGAAAGTTCCAGTGGTCTTCCCATGAACAAGATAAAGATGCCAACTTTAGAACCTGCTTTAGATCTCATCCAGATCAGGCTTGTATCAACTTTCCATCACCATCCACTGTTTCTGTCTCCTGCGCCCTGTGCCATAGCTGCCTGAAGCCACCTGAGATCCCTGAATGCACCATGTTGTCTAGAGCTCCGTGCTCTTCCTTCTGCGTGGGGTGCCGTTCCTTGTGTGCTTGTCTAGGGAACTCAGGAAGTTTTTGTAACCAGCCCATTTTTGACTTGCCCTCATTACTAGTTTATATGCCTGCTTATCCCCAGTGATCTCTGAGCCTCTGTCCGGGGCGCAGAGAATTCCTATTCAGTTTTGTATCTTCACGGCCCGGCACATGGTAGATGCTCTGTGAGTGTATATTTAGGGTTGTCTTACCAGCAAACGTCCTCTTTTTCTTTTTGCCTTTGCTAGGATTGTTTGAGGTTAGTTGCAAAGTAGTAAAGCAAATATTCCAAAGAAAAGAGTACACTGTAAACTCTTAGAACAGATAGTTCTTAAAAGTTACAGTATTCTCAATCCTGGTCCCTGAACCTTCCAGGAACTACCCATCTTCGTCATCTCTTTTAATTTCTTTTATGTCAGTCTTCACGTTTTCTCCCCTCTTGCCTTCTGCTCAGCTCCCAAACATGCTTAGGTTTCCTTGATCCTTTAACAAGATTATAATTAAACACACAAACAAAAAACTCATCAACATTACTGCTTATTCTTCAGACTCTTTCCCATCCCTATTCTCCGTTTCATCATTTTAAAAAAAATGAGCTGTTTATGTCTGGTGCATCCACTTGCTCATATTCTATTCAGCCCACTGGCATCTGGCTTTAGTCATTACCACTAGCAAAAGGCTTTCCTTCAAAGATATCTGGCAGCTTCCAGCTTGCCAGTCCAACGTGACTCTTTAGCCATGACGACACCTTTTCTCTCTGCAGTTTCTGACACTGTGGTGTTGATGGCCTCTTCCTTCTTGAAATGTTTTTCTACCCTTAGTTTCTGTACCATGGCACTCTCATGATAATGTCTTGTCTTTCTCTGACTATTGCACGTCATTGGGTAAATGGTGTAGTGTCTTATATTTGGGGTAACCATACATTTGGGCATATGCGGTAATTGCTTTATCCATTTACATTCATTTGACAAATATTTACTGAGTGACAACAAAGTGCCAGGCACTGGGTATGTAGTAAAGAGCAAAACAGATATGACAGATACGATCTTTTTGAAGTCCAGAGTTTCAACCTTGTATTTGTTATCTGTTGCTATGTAACAGATTACCACAAACTTCGTGGCTTAAAACAACACCCATCTGTTATCTCATAGGTTTTATGGATCAGGGTTTTGGGCACGGCTTAGCTCTGCCCTGTGCTTCAGGGTCTCCCACGAGGCTGCAGTCACGGTGTCGGCCAGGGCTGGAGTATCATCCAAAGTCACGACTGGGGAGGGACCTGCTTCCAAGCTCATGTTGATGTTGGCAGGATTTATCTCCTTGGAGGCTGTTGGACTCAAGGTCTCAGTTCCTTACCGGTTGTTGGTTAGATGCCACCCTTAGTTCCTTGCCATGTAGGTCTCTCTATACAGCAGCTTGTTTGATCAGAGCCAGCAGGGAAGAGACTCAACAGAGTTGACTGGCGAGATGGAATTTACAACCTCAGGTAATGTATTCATGGAAGTGGAATCTCATGGTTTTTTTTTTTTTTGAGGTTTTTATTTTTTAAATTGAAGTATAGTTGATATACAATATTATATAAATTACAGGTGTACAGCATAATGACTCACAATTTTTAAACGTCATACTCCACTTACAGTTATTATAAAATGTTGGCTGCATTTCCATGCTGTACAGTATGGTGTTCCATTATTCTTCCTGTATTCTGATGGTTAGAATCAAGTCACGGGTCCAGCCCTCATGCAAGTGGGAGAGACTACACAGAGCAGACCTACCAGGAAGCAGAGATTCACTGGCCCGTCTTAGAGTCTGCTTGTCACAAACCTCTTACTGTCTTTCACTTCGATGTTCCGGCCACCTCCATTTCTAGTGCTCTTCAGCTGAGCTCACCACTCTCCCCTTGCCCAAACCTGCCGCTCATCCTGTCTTCCCTGTCTTGGTCAGCAGCCTCATGCCCACTTGGTCATCTAGTCCCGACATCCAGAGATCATTTTCAACACCTCCTCCCGAGATTTCATGGGTCTCTAGGCTCTGTGCATCTCACATCATTGTCTACTTAACATTCACACTGACGTGGCTTCAGCTCAGCCATGGATCATTGCAGTAACCTTCTCACCTTCCGTCTTTCTTCTCAGAGTCACCAGTTACTTTCATAAATCCTTCATGGCTCCCAGCTTTCTACAGGATAAAGGTGTACCTTCACGATGTGCTCGTCCACCCTTTTTACAATCTGGGTTCAGCTCGCTTCCCCAAGCTTCTTGCTCTGGACTCCTTGCTGTTGCCCATATGCCCCAGACACAGGCCACTTGGTGTTTCTTGAACCCACACCACATGTTTGTGCCTCTACATTGGGTCCTATGGTTACATCTTCTTGGATTCCCTTCTCCCTACTTCTTCCTCTAGAAACCCCTTCTGTATGTGCTTACAGGACCTAGCTGAAAAACCCCCTCTTCTGTAAAACCGTCTTCTGCTGCCCTCTGCCTGCTAAGCCCCTCGCTCAGAATGAACCAGCAGCACCCGTGTGCTCTCCCAGCCCCTTACTTGCACCGCTGCTACAAGACTGTTCCTGTGTAGTTTGGCGTCTGCAGTTTTGTATTTGCTGTTAAATGGCTTTCTTAAAATGCCAAAGGGCAGGGTCTAGATCCTACTCTTTGATGGATCCAAAGTGCCAGCCTCTGGAGCAGTGATTCACAGTCTTGGCTGCATTTGGAGTCACTTGGGGCACTTTGAACTTCACCAGTGCCTGGGACCCACCCCTGGAGGTGGCAATGTAATTGATCTCAGGTGCAGCCTGGAATGCTGGCAGTTTTAAAAGGTCCATGATTCTAACATGTAGGTAACACTGAAAGCCGCTGCTTCCAGTTGAAGAAACCAAGTCTCTGGGAGAATGAAAGGATGAGAAAATGTTAAACATTTAATGGGTAGGAAGACTTTAAAACTAGAGGTAAAGTTGAGTTTTAAAAAATCACACACACGCAATTCAAATAGTACATGACATAGCTAAGCAATCAAAATAATCTCCAAATGGATCAGCCAATGGACTGGGGGATTATGTATTTTTGTGGTAACGAGGAAGAAATCAGAAATGTAAAGAGAATAAAAATGTAGTCTCAAAGTCTAACACTGTAATATTTGTGCATATGAAGAAGCCGATAAAATGAAATAAGGAACCACCTGGAATTATTAGCTTTTCCCTTTTTGTCTAGCACTACAGAGTGTGTGTGTGTGTGTGTGTGTGTGTGTGTGTGTGTGTGTGTGTGTGTCCAGGACATAACTTACTTTCAAGTTATTCTGATTTCCTCCTTTATTTTCTAGGAACATTTTGAAAACAATTGCCCTGGGTCAGATGCTGTCCTTGTGTATATGTGGGACAGCCATCACCAGCCAGTATTTGGCAGAAAGATACAAAGTGAACACCCCCATGCTTCAGAGCTTTATCAACTATTGCTTGCTGTTCCTAATTTATACAATGATGCTGGCATTCCAATCAGGTATGTCAAATGTGGAAATTACCTCTTCGACAAATGATCTTCATAAAATCTTTTGGCTCTAGACATTTAAAAAATAAAATATGGGGCAAAACCAAGAACAGGAAACTATTGCCGTTTTTATAAAAGTTATTAGAACAGTATGACACCTCTGAATTCTACAGGAGTAGTGACTAGAAAGTTATGTATAACTCTCTGAAATTGTTGGTCAAAATAAGTAGCACCAAAATGTAATGTAGGAGCGTTTTTTTTTTAATTAAGTGCCATTACAAGTTAGGTTTTATATTTTTTTCTCTGTAGTTAATCTTTTTCCTTTTTTTTAAAAATAGACTCTTTTTTTAGAGCAGTTCCAGGTTCACAGCAGAATTGAGCAGAAAATACAGAAAGTTCACACATAGCCCTCCCCACCCTCACATACATACTCCCCTACCCTCAACATCCCTCATCAGTGCGGTATATTTGGTACAATCGATGAACTAACATGGACACATTATTATCAAGTGGTTGATAAATTTAAGAGACAATTTTAAAAACACTTAAGTCAAGAACCTCACTCTCCAAAAGTGGAGAATATTTTCAGCTAAATGGAGCACCAATTGCATGTAAACTAAGTCTATGGTTTTTTTGTTTCTTTCTAAAATTTGGGGGGGGGGTTAATTAGGTTTATTTATTTATTTTTAAATTATTATTATTATTTTTTTAGTGGAGGTACTGGAGATTGAACCCAGGACGTTGTACCTGCTAAGCGTGTGCTCTACCACTGAGCTCTACCCTCCCTCTAGACCAAGTCTATGTTGTGAGAGAAACAAAACAAGAAACTGGCAGAGAATTAACATCACTGGCTGGTTAAGTTGTTTTAGAATTATTATAGAATTATCATTTCTAGCTACACATAAATGGGAGAGACTCAGTTCTGACTAATATTATTTTGCTGGGTATCATAATAATTGCTTTAACTCGTTGAAGCCTGCTAACAAATCAAGTGAGCATTATTATTATCTCCACTTTCTAGACCAGGAATCTGAGGCATGTAGCACTTAGGTAATTTATTCACTGTAAATCATAAAGGTGGAGCCAGATTCCTATGTAGGCAGCCTGGCCCAGAGCCCATGTGCCCGCCACCATGCTGTATTAGGGGCTGCTAGTCATGATAACACCATCTTTCTCACAAAGAAAAGCGTGGTATTTTAAAATAAATTAAATAAGATTGAATTCAAGAGTGTGAAGACAATGAGTAACCCGAGCTGATTGGAAGGGTACAATGCTCCCATTTTCCTCACATTTAAGGCATATAATAAAACCACCAGTGTGACATTTGCTAAACCTCTTTTAATATGAACCTCAATGCACCAGTGATGTTCCTGTGTATCAGGATAAATAACTTATTTTGGAAAGAAAATGGAAAGCAGTTGGGGGAAGGGGAAAATATCTTAAGAGGAAAGCACGAAACTTGGTGAGAACTTTAGGAGTTGGAAACAGAGCTGGTAAATGGTTAATGGCCTCAGACTTTGCTCCTCTCTGTAAGCACTGGCCTTCAGGAAGTCAGTGTGATTCATAAATATATCAGTGAAGCCCCCCAAGGGGTGGTTGCTAGGTACCTTCCATGCCGTCTCATGTTGAGGAAGATTAACTGTGTTTTCAGGATGTACCTGCTAATTGAGTTTTTTTTTTTAACATTTAAAAAATTGAGTTATAGTCAGTTTACAATGTTGTGTCAATTTCCAGTGTAGAGCATAATTTTTCAGTTATACATGAACGTGCATATATTCATTGTCACATTCTTTTTTGCTGTGAGCTACCACCAGTTCTTGTATGTATTTCCCTGTGCTATATAGTATAATCTTGTTTATCTATTCTACATATGCCTGTCAGTGTCTACAAATTTCGAACTCCCAGTCTGTCCCTTCTCCCCTTCCCCCTTGGCAACCACAAGTTTGTATTCTGTGTCTATGAGTCTATTTCTGTTTTGTATTCATGTTCTTTTTTCTTTTTTTTAGATTCCACATATGAGTGATCTCATATGGTATTTTTCTTTCTCTTTCTGGCTTACTTCACTTAGAACGACATTCTCCAGGGACATCCATGTTCCTGCAAATGGTATTATGTTGTCATTTTTATGGCTGAATAGTATTCCATTGTGTAAATATACCACATCTTCTTTATCCAGTCGTCTGTTGATGGACATTTAGGCTGTTTCCATGTCTTGGCTATTGTAAATAGTGCTGTTGTGAACATTGGGGTGCAGGTGTCTTTTTGAAGTGGGCTTCTTTCTGGATATATGCCCAGGAGCGGGATTCCTGGGTCATATGGTAAGTCTATTCCTAGTCTTCTGAGGAATCTCCATACTGTTTTCCACAGTGACTGCACCAAACTGCATCCCCACCAGCAGTGTAGGAGGGTTCCCTTTTCTCCACAGCCTCTCCAGCATTTGTCATTTGTGGACTTTTGAATGATGGCCATTCTGACTGGTGTGAGGTGATACCTCATCATAGTTTGATATGCTATTTCTCTGATAATTAGTGATACTGAG